ATTTTTTATCAGAGTGGCGCACTACCACAGCGCCGCGTCGCTGGCCGAAGTAGCGCCGGGCCGGGCATCAGGGCGATAACCGGTACTAACTATTTATCCTGACACTTTTACCCCCGCGTCCTGACATTATCCTGATTATCCTGACAACTTTTGAAAATCCTGGACAAAATCTTGATTATCCTGACGCGTGGCAACCCTGGGTTTGCTCGAATAAGCCTCTGGGTAGAGCGGAGCTGCGAAAAGTTAGCCCGCAACGCAGCTGGGGGTCGGGGTAGGCATTTAGCTCGCGTAGCTCGCTCGGGGGTCCCGTCGATTGCGGACCCATCGATTGCAGACATTGAGGGAAGAAACGGGGGATTATGAGGGAAATAAGAGAAATTGTCGATTGCGGACAGCCCCGTTCAGACGCTGGCGTCCTGGGGAACCCAAAGCGAGCCTTGCCGCCGCGCTGCCTTGCGCACACTGGATGAGTGGCATGGCCACAAAATGGTCACGCTATCAAAAACTAAAATAATAACTCTAACTGCGCTCAATGAACACCAACAGCAGCTGGTACAGCAACAACAGCAATACGTTTCTGATTTCCTGTATACAGTTAAGTTTTGTTCGTTTAGGTTCGCTGATGAGGCACACGCGCCACGCGCACGCCTTCTCTGCCACCCTTCACTCGCCTGTATGAAAAAAATGCTATCATTTGGTGATGGCAAAGGAAACCTCCCTATTGGTTTGTTGATCAGGATCAAAAGCCCCAGGGGATACTTTGGTACTACTTGTATAGGGGAAGCGCGGGTCCGGAGGTATGATTTTTGTGTTCAGCCACATGGTCTAGCATCGGGTCGGTCCGACCCAGGTGAGTAGCCGGCGCAAACCAGCCGGATCGAGAAAAAAGGTGCTAATCGTTTGTTAAACGTTAGTATAGTTATGTTGAGGTATTGGTTTCGTTTGTGTAAGTACCGTTCTCTTTTTTTAAAACTTCGTTCTCAGCCGGCTAGATTCACATCCTGCTCATGGAGTAGAACTATAATGGAGTAGCAACTAAGTACGTTGAAATGTGTGCCGCGCTGGCTGTCGAAGCTATCTCCTCTGAAGCCAATGTGCTTAGAAATCTCACCCACTCAGTTTTTGGAAGCCTGTGGTCTACTGCAGCTAATGAAGCCCTTGTTTTGAGTGTGGCATCATTCAAACTGGAGCTACGACGCCTGGAACGCCGCAGATCCGTTTTCGGCCATGTGCCACCCGTGTATGTAGAGAGAGACAGAGCCAGGGTCATGAATGTCCATGAAATAATAACCGTTTGACTCTGCAGCGTTCAGGGTCTTCACAGTTGTGTACAAAAAGTAGAATTTGAAGTAAAAACTTTTATTTAATGGCCCTATTTGAAGAAATATGACCCTCACTCTGTCTGTCTCTCTCTACATACACGGGTGGCACGTAGCCGAAAACAGATTTGCGACGTTCCAGGCGTCGTAGCTCCAGTTTGAATGATGCTGCACTCAAAACAAGGGCATCATTAGCTGCAGTAGACCATAGGCTTCCAAAAACTGAGTGGGTGAGATTACTAAGCACATTGGCTTAAGAGGAGATAGCTTCGCCAGCCAGCGCGGCACACATTTCAACGGACTTAGTAGCTTCTCCATTACAGTTCTACTCCATGTCCTGCTTAAGTCTGCTTAAATGAGTGATCAAGAGACAAAAGTAGGTCAGATCGATTTCTCTTAGTTTGTTAAAGTTTGTTAAACCCTTAAAATTTCAAAAATGTCAATACAAAAATTATGCTAACAAATCACAGAGAACATAGGACCGTCTAACTTACCAAGTCAACACCCATAGCCCAACAAACGACTAAAATAGTCCAGAACAGTGTCTTATCGCTTGTTAAAGTTTGTTAAGCCTCAAGAAGTTAATTGTGGAGTGGCCATATCCGTCCCTTATTTTTTTAAGGGAATGGATCCGGCTAACTTGCCACTTTGACTTAAGTGACTTAAAAAATGACCGAAATAGTCCAAAACGGTGTCTTTTCCTTTGTTAAAGTTTGTTAAGCCTCCAAAGATTAATTGTAGAATTACCATATCCGTCCCTTATTTATTTAAGGGATTGGAGCCAGCTAACTTACCACTTTTACTCAAGTGAGTTAACAAACGACCCAAATTGTTCAGACCAGTGTCTTTTCGTTTGTTAAAGTTTGTTAAACCTCCAGAAGTCTACAGTGGAATGACCATATCCGTCCCTTATTAATTTAAGGGATTAGGAGCCGGCTAACTTACCATTTTGACTTTAGTGACTTAGCAAACGACCAAAATAGTTCAGACCAGCGTCTTCTCGTTTGTTTAAGTTTGTTAAGCCTCCAAAAGTTAATTATAGAGTGCCCATATCCGTCCCTTAGTTTTTTAAGGAAATGGATCCGGCTAACTTGCCACTTTGACTTAAGTGACTTAAAAAATGACCAAAATAGTCCAAAACAGTGTCTTTTTGTTTGCTAAAGTTTGTTAAGCCTCCAAAAGTTAATTGTGGAATGCCCATATCCATCCTTTATTTATTTAAGGGAATAGGAGCCGGCTAACTAACCACTTTGACTTTAGTGACTTAGCAAACGACCAAAATAGTTCAGACCAGCGTCTTTTCGTTTGTTTAAGTTTGTTAAGCCTCCAAAAGTTAATTGTAGAGTGCCCATATCCGTCCCTTACTTTTTTTAAGGGAATGGATCCGGCTAACTTGCCACTTTGACTTAAGTGACTTAAAAAATGGCCAAAATAGTCCAAAATAGTGTCTTATTGTTTGTTAAAGTTTGTTAAGCCTCCAAAAGTTAATTGTGGAATGCCCATACCCATCCCTTATTTATTTAAGGGATTGGAGCCGGCTAACTTACCCCTTTGACTTTAGTGACTTAGCAAATGACCAAAATAGTTCAGACCAGTGTCTGTTCGTTTGTTAAAGTTTCTTTCTTAAGCCTCCAGAAGTTAATTGTGGAATGACCATATCCGTCCCTTATTTTTTTTAAGGGAATGGATCCGGCTAACTTACCACTTTTACTCAAGTGACTTAACGAACGACCTAAGTTGTCCAGACCAATGTCTTTTCGTTTCTTAAAGTTTGTTAAGCCTCCAAAAGTTAATTGTGGAATGACCATATCCGTCCCCTATTTATTTAAGTAATTGGAGCCGGCTAACTTACCACTTTTACTTTAGTGACAAGAGCGCAAGAGCATCAAACATGGTGCAAAATTAAGTCATTTTCGACTCCTGTAACTCATATTGCCCCCCTTAAGTCACTTAGGTCAAAGTGGTAAGTTAGCCGGCTCCGGCCGGCTCCAATCCCTTACATAAATAAGGGACGAGTATAGGCATTCTACAATTAACTTCTGGTGGCTTAACTTTAACAAACGAAAAGACACTGGACTGGTCTGGACTATTTTGGTCGTTTGTTAAGTCACTTGAGTAGAAGTGGTAAGTTAGCCGGCTCCAATCCCTTACATATTAATAAGGGACAGATATGGGCATTCCACAATTAACTTCTGGAGGCTTTACAAACTTTAACAAACGAAAAGACACAGTTCTGGACTATTTTGGTCGTTTGTTGGGCTATGGGTGTTGACTTGGTAAGTTAGCGGGTCCTATGTACTCTGTGTTCTGTGAACATAATTTTTGTATTGACATTTTTGAAATTTTAAGGGTTTAACAAATCGTCAGAATCGTCAACTGAGAGAAATCGACCTGAACTACTTTTGTCTCTTGATCATTCATTCAAGCGGACTTGAGTAGGATGTAAATCTAGCCGGTTTAGAACGAAGTTTTAAAAAAATAGAACGGTTCTTGCACAAACGAAACCAATGCTTTAACATGACTCTGCTAACGTTTAACAAACAATAAGCAACTGTTTACTCGATCCGGCTGGTTTGCGCTGGCTAGGTTCACGTACGTCATGATAGTGGCTAATATGGTCGCGAGAAGCGCCAGAGCAGTTTGTTGCTCTAGAGCAACAAAAACTATAGGGGAGGAGTGAATTCGCGAGCTTTTATGCCTCTATGGTCTTTGTTGCTCAGAAGCAACATGCGATATCTGAAAAACTATTTGAGGTAGCGCGAATTTTCCAAGGTCAGCGGACTCAGGGGCCTGGGGGCTTCTAGAAAAAATAAAAAAAATACTTTTTTCCCTGTTCCGCTTAAAAAAACGACCATAAAGGGTCAACAGTATTATACCGTAATATTTATAATATCCTGTAATAGACTGTAATACTGAGAATACTCCATTGTACCTATAATATACTGTAATACTTTTATAAAACCTATCAATGGACGAAAATTGTCCCCATGACATAGAATGTCTTTACGGACGTGCATGTAACTTGCCTCTAATTTCGTAGTGGTCAGGAGTGTCCAGGAGCTCAGGATTTAGGCGGAGAGTGTTCAGCTGATCGTGCAAAGCGCACAGGTAGTCCTCGGAAATCAGATCAATATGCAGCTGAAGCAGCTCCTGCATGGAACCGTATGGACCCATTTCTTTCAGTCTTTGCAAGTGGACATTTCTCGCACCAGGTTCAACATCTTGCACGGACGGGAACAGCGGCGTAACTGGTCACAAAGAGACAGAGATTCAGTTTGTTCATTAAGCAACGACATACATTAGACTATTTGAGTACATAACTCTAAATGTGGATCCATACTAAATCCGAAAGGACTTTTTTTTTGTCCATAAAAAGATGCGTTTTTGATCACACTCAACTGCACTGGAAATGCAAGTGTGTGAATGTCGCTCACCTGCAAGTGAGCGACATTCCATTCGTACACTCAGGGGGGTAAAGGTGTGAATTCTTCCTAGAAAATTCACACGTTTACCCCCTTAAGTATACGAATAGAATGTCGCTCACCTGCAGGTGAGCAACATTCACACACTTGCATTTACAGTGTGGATGCAGATGCAGATTGGAATCTAGCAAGTAAGGAATTTGCATTTTCATGAAAGACAAAAATTAATTCTCCAGAAAAAAGATGCTTATTCGTCACCTGCTGGATAAAAATCTGCATCCAGTTGAGATGCGCACAAAACGCGCCTCATCACATCAGCACTTTGGGTCAGGCGCGCACGGCGCAAACGTGCAGCCAGACGCCAGTTTACTGTCAAAAACACTGAAAATCACTTAATGTAACATAATTCAAAGCTATTTGTAACGTTCGTGTCCATGTGTAACATCGCTTATACATTTTTTTTACGTAACAGTTTTATACAAATTATATGCGGTAACAGGTGTTACACAAATACTTTGTATAACAAATTTTTTTTTGTTGATTGTAACTTAAAGCTATGCGTCCCGAGCATAATTGGCAGTGAAATAGCTGTTACACTTTTTAGTTCATGCAACATTTTTTACGTATACCACTTTGTGTAACAACAGTAACGTAAAATTATGAATGTAACAACTGTTATACACGTACACATGCGTGTTACTAGGAACTTTCAGTGAACGTTTTGATTCCAAACCCAAAATTAACTGAATTTTCAGAATAGTTATGAAATTTCATGTTTAAACTAAAAATTTGGACTCGTTTTGACATAATACAATGTTATGAAAATTAAGAACTGTATACTGAGATGTCAGTATTTGTACTGTAAGGTACAGAACTAGATAATGGCATTTAATTTAGTGATGTCCAATGGTCGGTCAACCCCCCACTACACGTGACTGCCGTCTCTCTCTCACGCGCTAGCCGGCCACTAGCTCCGTCCCTCTCGCTCGCCCAATGGGCACCCATCGGCGCCGAGCGACCGACCATTGGACACCACTAATTTAATTATGGTTCTGAACATTCCGAGCTGTGTAATAAAAAGTCAGTATGCCTCTGAAGATTCAGAGCTGCGTAATGAAACTTTAGTTTGGCACTGAAAATTTAGAGCAGGTTGATGAAATTACAATAGGATTAATAAAGTTATGTACATCTCTGTAATCTCTGGTATAATAGAAAATCGAGAACAACAATATCATCGCGAACGTACAAGCGTCGTCATTTTCGCAACAACGATCACCGTGCACCGAAAGGGCGATTCTCAGAATACGGGCCATTTGGGGGTCCCTATATTTAT